CAGAGTCGCAACATAGATCCACAGAGTCGCAACATAGATCCACAGAGTCGCAAATAGATCCACAGAGTCGCAACATAGATCCACAGAGTCGCAACATAGATCCACAGAGTCGCAACATAGATCCACAGAGTCGCAACATAGATCCACAGAGTCGCAACATAGATCCACAGAGTCGCAACATAGATCCACAGAGTCGCAAACATAGATCCACAGAGTCGCAACATGATCCACAGAGTCGCAACATAGATCCACAGAGTCGCAACATAGATCCACAGAGTCGCAACATAGATCCACAGACGTCGCAACATAGATCCACAGAGTCGCAACATAGATCCACAGAGTCGCAACATAGATCACCAGAGTCGCAACATAGATCCACAGAGTCGCAACATAGATCCACAGAGTCGCAACATAGATCCACAGAGTCGCAACATAGATCCACAGAGTCGCAACATAGATCCACAGAGTCGCAACATAGATCCACAGAGTCGCAACATAGATCCACAGAGTCGCAACATAGATCCACAGAGTCGCAACATAGATCCACAGAGTCGCAACATAGATCCACAGAGTCGCAACATAGATCCACAGAGTCGCAACATAGATCCACAGAGTCGCAACATAGATCCACAGAGTCGCAACATAGATCCACAGAGTCGCAACATAGATCCACAGAGTCGCAACATAGATCCACAGAGTCGCAACATAGATCCACAGAGTCGCAACATAGATCCACAGAGTCGCAACATAGATCCACAGAGTCGCAACATAGATCCACAGAGTCGCAACATAGATCCACAGAGTCGCAACATAGATCCACAGAGTCGCAACATAGATCCACAGAGTCGCAACATAGATCCACAGAGTCGCAACATAGATCCACAGAGTCGCAACATAGATCCACAGAGTCGCAACATAGATCCACAGAGTCGCAACATAGATCCACAGAGTCGCAACATAGATCCACAGAGTCGCAACATAGATCCACAGAGTCGCAACATAGATCCACAGAGTCGCAACATAGATCCACAGAGTCGCAACATAGATCCACAGAGTCGCAACATAGATCCACAGAGTCGCAACATAGATCCACAGAGTCGCAACATAGATCCACAGAGTCGCAACATAGATCCACAGAGTCGCAACATAGATCCACAGAGTCGCAACATAGATCCACAGAGTCGCAACATAGATCCACAGAGTCGCAACATAGATCCACAGAGTCGCAACATAGATCCACAGAGTCGCAACATAGATCCACAGAGTCGCAACATAGATCCACAGAGTCGCAACATAGATCCACAGAGTCGCAACATAGATCCACAGAGTCGCAACATAGATCCACAGAGTCGCAACATAGATCCACAGAGTCGCAACATAGATCCACATGAGTTCGCCAACATAGATCCACAGAGTCGCCAAACATAGCATCCACAGAGTCGCCAACATAGATCCACAGAGTCCCAACATAGATCCACAGAGGTCGCAACATAGATCCACAGAGTCGCAACATAGATCCACAGAGTCGCAAACTAGATCCACAGAGTCGCACCAATAGCATCCACAGAGTCGCGAACATAGATCCACAGAGTCGCAACATAGATCCACAAGACATAGTCGCCAACATAGATACACAGAAGTCGCCCAACATAGATCCACAGAGTCGCAACATAGATCCACAGAGTCGCAACATATGATCCACAGGAGTCGCCAACATAGATCCACAGCGTCGCAACATAGATCCACAGTAGTCGCCAACATAGATCCCCACAGAGTCGCACACCATCAGATCCACAGTAGTCGAACATAGATCCACTAGAGTCGCAACCATCAGATCCCACAGAGTCGCAACATTAGATCCACAGAGTCCGCCAACATAGATCCACAGAGTCGCCAACATAGATCCACAGAGTCACGCAACATAGATCCACAGAGTCGCAACATAGATCCACAGAGTTCGCAACATAGATCCACAGAGTCGCCAACATAGATCCACAGAGTCGCAACATAGATCCACGTAGTCGCAACATAGATCCACAGAGTCGCAACCCCACATAGCCATCCACAGAGTCGCAACATAGATCCACAGAGTCGCAACATAGATCCACAGAGTCGCAACATAGATCCACAGAGTCGCAACATAGATCCACAGAGTCGCAACATAGATCCACAGAGTCGCAACATAGATCCACAGAGTCGCAACATAGATCCACAGAGTCGCAACATAGATCCACAGAGTCGCAACATAGATCCACAGAGTCGCAACATAGATCCACAGAGTCGCAACATAGATCCACAGAGTCGCAACATAGATCCACAGAGTCGCAACATAGATCCACAGAGTCGCAACATAGATCCACAGAGTCGCAACATAGATCCACAGAGTCGCAACATAGATCCACAGAGTCGCAACATAGATCCACAGAGTCGCAACATAGATCCACAGAGTCGCAACATAGATCCACAGAGTCGCAACATAGATCCACAGAGTCGCAACATAGATCCACAGAGTCGCAACATAGATCCACAGAGTCGCAACATAGATCCACAGAGTCGCAACATAGATCCACAGAGTCGCAACATAGATCCACAGAGTCGCAACATAGATCCACAGAGTCGCAACATAGATCCACAGAGTCGCAACATAGATCCACAGAGTCGCAACATAGATCCACAGAGTCGCAACATAGATCCACAGAGTCGCAACATAGATCCACAGAGTCGCAACATAGATCCACAGAGTCGCAACATAGATCCACAGAGTCGCAACATAGATCCACAGAGTCGCAACATAGATCCACAGAGTCGCAACATAGATCCACAGAGTCGCAACATAGATCCACAGAGTCGCAACATAGATCCACAGAGTCGCAACATAGATCCACAGAGTCGCAACATAGATCCACAGAGTCGCAACATAGATCCACAGAGTCGCAACATAGATCCACAGAGTCGCAACATAGATCCACAGAGTCGCAACATAGATCCACAGAGTCGCAACATAGATCCACAGAGTCGCAACATAGATCCACAGAGTCGCAACATAGATCCACAGAGTCGCAACATAGATCCACCAGAGTCGCAACATAGATCCACAGAGTCGCAACATAGATCCACAGAGTCGCAACATAGATCCACAGAGTCGCAACATAGATCCACAGAGTCGCAACATAGATCCACAGAGTCGAACATAGATCCACAGAGTCGCAACATAGATCCACAGAGTCGCAACATAGATCCACAGAGTCGCAACATAGATCCACAGAGTCGCAACATAGATCCACAGAGTCGCAACATAGATCCACAGAGTCGCAACATAGATCCACAGAAGTCGCAACATAGATCCACAGAGTCGCAACATAGATCCACAGAGTCGCAACATAGATCCACAGAGTCGCAAACATAGATCCAAGAGTCGCAACATAGATCCCACAGAGTCGCAACATAGATCCACAGAGTCGCAACATAGATCCACAGAGTCGCAACATAGATCCACAGAGTCGCAACATAGATCCACAGAGTCGCAACATAGATCCACCAGAGTCGCAACATAGATCCACAGAGTCGCAACATAGATCCACAGAGTCGCAACATAGATCCACAGAGTCGCAACATAGATCCACAGAGTCGCAACATAGATCCACAGAGTCGCAACATAGATCCACAGAGTCGCAACATAGATCCACAGAGTCGCAAACATAGATCCACAGAGTTCGCACCTAGATCCACAGAGTCGCAACATAGATCCACAGAGTCGCAACATAGATCCACAGAGTCGCAACATAGAGATCCACAGAGTCGCAACATAGATCCACAGAGTCGCAACATAGATCCACAGAGTCGCAACATAGATCCACAGTAGTCGCAACATAGATCCACAGAGTCGCAACATAGATACACAGAGTCGCAACATAGATCCACAGAGTCGCAACATAGATCCACAGAGTCGCAACATAGATCCACAGAGTCGCAAACATAGATCCACAGAGTCGCAACATAGATCCACAGAGTCGCAACATAGATCCACCAGAGTCTCAACCTAGATCCACAGAGTCGCAACATAGATCCACAGAGTCGCCAACATAGATCCACAGAGTCGCAACATAGATCAACAGAGTCGCAAACATAGATCCACAGAGTCGCAACATAGATCCACAGAGTCGCAACATAGATCCACAGAGTCGCAACATAGATCCACAGAGTCGCAACATAGATCCACAGACTCGCAACATAGATCCACAGACTCGCAACATAGATCCACAGACTCGCAACATAGATCCACAGACTCGCAACATAGATCCACAGACTCGCAACATAGATCCACAGACTCGCAACATAGATCCACAGACTCGCAACATAGATCCACAGACTCGCAACATAGATCCACAGACTCGCAACATAGATCCACAGACTCGCAACATAGATCCACAGACTCGCAACATAGATCCACAGACTCGCAACATAGATCCACAGACTCGCAACATAGATCCACAGACTCGCAACATAGATCCACAGACTCGCAACATAGATCCACAGACTCGCAACATAGATCCACAGACTCGCAACATAGATCCACAGACTCGCAACATAGATCCACAGACTCGCAACATAGATCCACAGACTCGCAACATAGATCCACAGACTCGCAACATAGATCCACAGACTCGCAACATAGATCCACAGACTCGCAACATAGATCCACAGACTCGCAACACACACAAAGAGACCCATAGATTAATATAATCACAGAGACCCATAGGCTCGTAGAGAGACAGAGACATATAGACTCACAGCGATCCATATACTCACACAAAGACCCATAGACTTGAAGATGCCCATAGACTCAGTGAGACCCATATACTCTCACAGAGACCCATAGACTTTTACAGAGACGGAGACATAGACTCACACAGAGACTCACAGACTCGCACAGAGACCCATAGACTCGCACAGATACCGATAGACTAACTCCAGCCGAATCCCGCTCCCTTCCTGAGCAGCATCGCAGCGATGTCCATGGAGCTGTACATCGCCGTGTGCCTTCCCCTCCGCCACGCGCGCCTCTGCAACCTCCGCTCGGCCTATGGCTGCCTCGCCACCACCCTGGCGCTGGGAGCCGCTCCGGCGCTGACTCGGCTCGCGCTTGAGATCTTGAGCAGCGCCAGCCAAGGCTCCACACTACTGCTATCTACCGTCTTCTCTAACAGCATTCAGGGGGGTGGCAGTGCCGCCTCCGGCCCCGGCTCCTCGGTCGCCGCCAACAGCAGCCTCCAAGCGGCCACGGGAGCACCAGGTGAAGTGCGACTGAAACCCGTCAGACCATCGGGCACACCGCCCCTACTCGCGTCAGAATTTGTATTTATACTGCACCATAGACTCGGCACTGCACCGTAGACTCAATACTGCTCATAGATTCAACACTGCCTATAGACTGAATACTGCCCACAAACTCAACACTGCCCGTAGACTGAGCACAGCCCGTAGACTCAACGCAGGCCATACACTCAACATGATGATTTAAAAGTGTATATCTCCAGTAGCTTTCTAATAGCGGAATGAAGAGCGTTCTACGTGGCTGCAGAAGCGCATATGAAAGTGGGCGATGCATTGACCGTCTTTGTTCGATGGCTATCCAAAAGTGTAGTGTGTAGTATAGTGTTTCGTAGTGTAAAGTGTATAGTAGTGTAGGGTATCGTGTTTAGTAGTATTAGTGTAGGACTCGTACTCCGGCTGTCTTTCTCGTTCCGTTTATTCACACTTTAGAGTTCACACCTCCTCCGCATCATCGCTCCGTGTCTCCCCATTCGCTCCGTTGCACCATCCGCCATCAACGACACTCTCAGTCTCTCCGTTCGCTCGTTCCGCTCCGCGATTCCGCTCGCTCTCTCTCCTTCTCTCCCAAGGTCCGTTACTCCGCTGCTACCCTACTCTGTACTCCTCCGATGCACTGCTACCACTGCTACCGTACTCTGTGTTCTCTCTATCCACTGCTACCGTACTCTGTGTTCTCTCTATCCACTATTACCCTTATCGTGTCTATCCCTACTCACTGCTGCTCCTCTCTTCCCTGGGCACCAATCACTCTAACTCCAACCAAGACTCCCGTCTCTCCGTTACGCTGTGCCTTTTATCCCTGCACCAATCAGTCCCAATCAATTATCTCACCCCCCCCCGCTTTGCTACTCGCCCCCAGGCCCCCAGCCTCAGGTGACCTTGTTATTCCCGCCAGAGCGGCGCCGGTCATTAGCTACTCACCCTCCTAACCAATCACCGGCCTGTGTCCTCGGTTACCCCTAACACCTGTCGCACCTCTTAACGACGTCTCCCTCACACCCCGACAACAACAACCCCGTCCTCAGATACCCCCCCACTGTACACTGCTCGCTTGCATAGCAACAGAACGCGTGGCGCGTCATATTTCAAGTCCTACATTAGTGTAGTGTATAGTCGTGTATAGATTTTTGACCATTGTGACTGTTGGACTCCCGTTCAGACAACCCATACACACAGCAATGATCTGCGATCCCTAACCCCCAGCTCAACTGAGCAGCGCGGCCCAGATGGCATCCATCGAGCTGGCTCTGAACATGCTGAGGCAGGTGCCAGCCGTGTTGGTGCTGGTGCTGGCCTACCTCTGCGTGATCGGGAGCTACGTGCTCGTGTCAAAGGAGTGCCAGAGGGTCTCGCAGCGAGGGAGGACGAGGAAGACGATCGGCGGATTCCAACAAAAGTCCAAGAACATAAATCTCGGCTCCGGAGAGGCACCTCTGCCGGGCAACAAGGGAGCTGGAGGCAAGCAAGGCACTCCGTTGGAGGTGATCGATCATCCATCGTGTGGTCGCTTTTGTGCCACGGTAGCGAGATGTGTTGTACATTTGGAGTTTGCGTGTCTCTTTCCCTGTGATCACGTGGATTTTTCTCAAGGTCTTCTGGTTTTCCCCTCCACATTTAGAAACATGGGTTTAGAATGTTTGGCTGCTATAAAGGTCTGTGTGGTAAGCCACTTCACTGGGCTATCTTTTGTGGCCGGATCAATTCTGTAAAAGAGCTGTGTAGCTCAGTGGGCCTTACCTGGTGAAATGCAAATAGTACAAAAAATAGCCCAGTCTCCCCCCCCCCCCCCCCCCCACTAAACCCAGGAGCACAGAGTTCTGGACTGATGTCCGCGGAGTTTCTGTAGCCCCTCTGCGTCGCGGTTTGTGCTCTCTACTGGGCTCTGTTCTGGGCTCTTTTTAAATCCTTTATATTAAGTTCGCATGCTTGCTTGCTTGCGTGCTTGCTTGCTTGCTTACGACCATGCAAATCTTTCGGTCGTTTTTTAACCCACTTCCCGTGATCCAATCGAGCTGACATTTTCCACACAGACTCGTTGTGCCAGACAATTAATGTTCGTGAAAAAAAATCCCAAAATGTTACACTTTTTAGGCAAAAAAAAATTATTTTACATATATTCAAATATAACTCATTCATGGCTTTGGCTGAACGTCACAGTATAAGAGCCCAGAGTGTAACCCCTCCACAGGCCGTGGCAGAGTAGCGCAGTTGGTAGTGCCCTCGCTTCCCATGCCAAAGGTCGCGGGATCGATCCCCGCGTCCTCCAGAGGCGAATATATTTTTAAATCCTTTATATTAAGTTTGCTGCCACGCATATAAAGGATTTATAGTGAAAAACTTTGTTTTTACGGGTTATACTTATTTATTTTTAAATGGATGGCTTAGTGACACATTTTAATAGAGCTACACAGCTCAGGTGGCTTTACCTGGTAAAGTAAAAACATTTTCGCTTTTAGTTTTAGTCTAATTTAATTGGATGTGTCGGGTGGTGGTGGCGGGTTTAACGACACATTTTAAAAATAGCTACGTAGCTCAATGGGTCTTACCTAGTAAAACAAGAAGAAATTGTTTAGTTTTAGTTTCGTTTCATTGGTTGTGTCGGGTGGTGGTGGTGGCGGGTTTATCGACACTGATATTTTACTCGATCTCCCTCTCCCACACCCCCCCCCGACCGCCCCTTTGCCAAAATCCCAAAAGTCTCAAGACGCCTCCGAGGACAGCAAGAACCCAAACCGCGCACGCAACACAATAGGCATCCATGCGGTGCAGCTCACGCTGTACCTGAGCGCTCTCTACTACCCCTACATGCACGGAATCATCGATGGCACGGTGGCCGTGCAGGAGTGGCGTCTGCGCTACCGGGCTCTCGTCTTCCTCTTCTGCTTCGTCCTCCCGCGGGCGCTGTCTCCCGTCGTGCACGGAGTGCGGTCCCGGGAGCTGCGAAGGGGCTGGCGCAAAAGGATCGGAGCGGCAGGAGCAGGAGGACTGGGAGGAAGAGGAGAAGGAGTGGGCGGTGGAGGAGAAGGGGAAGGAGGGAGGGAGGCAGGGACATTATGAGGAGTAATGGGGTCAGAACGTGGACGGGACGTGTCGCATGAGAGCGTGTGTGTAGTCTGTTTATTCTTCTTTGGTACCCATTACGTAGTTTAAGCAGATCATAACACTCAGGATGGTCTCGAAACGATACGTACATGAATGTGAATACTGGACACCTGTGATGACTGGACATCTGTGAAAAAGAGCTTCATAGCTCATCGGATTCCTCCAGTCTAAAAAAAGAGTGTCTTTATTAAATAACTGTGGAGGCAACAGCATCTACCAATCTTGATTTGAATCTACCAATAACTATGACCGTCTCTGGACTACTACGACCTTCTTCAGCTGTCCACTGTGAGCGATTATGACTGCGGAGAACAGCGAGCAGCAGCATTGCGAGCAGGCGAGATGAGAGCCCAGACCTTGAAGCATCGCCGCGCTGTGGGCAAGAGTTGTTGCTCGTCCACTGAATTGGATCTGTGTTGTGCCACTGCTGGTGTTGATGCTGAAAAAATAACATTTCCCTTTTTATCCTCAACCCTCTTTAACCTAATCGGCTTACAGCCACTTCTGCACTGCTTACAATTGGCTCTGACATTTTCTCCCACGTGTCCACATTCATATTTGGCTGTCTTGAGCTGTTATTTTAAGGACGTATTTGTAGCGCAGTTTTTGGCCACCAGGAATACGCGTTGTCCTTCTTTGAGTTCATCGTAAAAGGAGGGTTTTAGGAAGCCGATGTTCTGGTATTCGAGTTACGTTGTCCTGCACATCTCAACTGAGATGAGGTCACTGTTGCCTTTACACTGGGGATCCCAGCTCTCGCCAGCACCTCAACTGCCTACGAGCTTGCACGATTTCCACCCTTGTTGACGTGTACGTTTTCAACGCGTGGTCTATTGTTACGATTACATCAGCCTCGGTTAAATAATTAATCGAGCACTGTCGTTTACACCAATATAATCACCCGATAGGCTCAGTGATGGCATCAACGTTGTTCTATTGAGACCGAAACAGGAATAATTATTAACAATCCTGGCTAATCGCCTGATGAGGCTGGTTGTTGTAATCACCGGATAAATGTCATGGTCCTCGAATTGTAAATGTTGTGGATTTACTCTCCAACGCACCAGTGTGCTGTCGTCACTAATAAAAACGTTTTGTTTATGTCATTAACCTTACTAATTGGCTGTGTCGGGTGGTATCGGGTTTAAAGACACATTTATATTTGTGTAATCTAACCCCCAAAAAAACCTTTATTATGGGTTTGCAAATGTGATTTGTAACTTTGAACCTGACCCGTGTATCAATAGTTCAATTTTAAAGTACAATGTAACCTTGCTTCCTCCCTTAATATCGTAAATTTACCTTCAAACAATATCTTGAAGCAGAAGACTGGTGCTGGACACAGCCACATTTGCAAATGTAATTTGTAACTTTTATCCTTACCTGTAATATCGATAGTTACTGTGCCATTTTATTGAGGGATTACTCCTGTGTGGTGTTGTCTTGGTGTGGTCTGGAACGTTTTTGTTGTTGTTACTGCCTTGCCTAAGTTTGATAAATCGAACTAATATAGTTAATTTACTATTTATATTTAGTAACTTGTTTACCATTTGATCTATTTTGCACTGCCCTGATCGGAGGTGCGGGGGAAGGACAAAATACTAAACACAAACAGCAGTTCCATAGAAATTACTTTTCAATATAGATTATTTAAAAGTGTATAGCTCCAGTGGCTTCCTAATATCAAAAGGGAAAGCGTTCCAGACGGCCGCAGCAGGGCATCCATAATCACGAGATGCGGTGACCGTCTTTGTTCGATGGCCACCCAAAAGCCACTTCTGCGAGGATGACCGGCGTTTGCGTGATGATGGTTTATGTTCCTTGACGCGATCAGCAATGTAATCGAGGGACTGCACAAAACGGCAGGAATGTATGTACTTATGAAATTGTACTTCTGAATAAAGTATAAATACTTTATATATATTTTAGTGGCTTTCTTACCTTTTCTTTAGTTTACACTCCTATCGTGTTTTGTGTATTGTGTTTGTTGTTGTAACTTTCAGACCCCGTGGACTTCTGTGAAGGAGAGCATCATAGCTCATCGGATTCCTCCTCTACAATAAATATTCTCACTCCAATAAAAATTCTGATTCTGAAAGCAACAAACGTAACGCTACGTATCGGCAAACTAAAGCACAAGCTTGGAGCATCAGCACCAGTGATACGGACATCAACGGTGGCCCTTGTGTACTGTGTAGCCGAGTACTGTGCAACAGTATGGACCAGAAGTCAGACTCGACATTTTGATGTCCAACTGAACACTGCAATGCGTGTATCAATCACTGCAACCCTCAAGTCGACAACACTGACTGCCCGTGCTGGACAAATCTCCCCCACCCATGCAACCCTCCGGGAAGTCCTGCGAATCGAGGAAAACGGTCGCCATCCCATTCACCAGGACTTCCAATAACGTCCCTCGTCATCACTTGAAGTCGGGCAAGCCCTCTTAGACCCATGTGCTTAACATTCAAAAATGCGAATTCAACCCCGATGAAGCTTGGAGAGCTAATTGGATTTCAAAAGAACTCGCAAAGACCTTGTGAACGATCTAACGCAGAAGATTCCTGATTTTGATCTTCCACGGAGTTCATGGTCCACCCTCAACCGCATCCACTGCACAAACCGTGGCAGATGTGGATACCTGACATACAAACGAAACATGCATAACTCTCCAGTGTGCCACTGGTCATCCGGAACAGATTGTACAACGTATAATGACACAGTGACCCGATCCACAAATACAAAGGAGACATCATGGCGATTCACTCCTCTGCTCTGATGCGGTTTTCTGGTTTGACCACCTGAATGTGAAATTGTAGTTGTTGCTCTGCATCTACATCAGCTGTACAAATGCAGAAGCAAACTATAAACACTTGCACCACAACGTTCACACTTTAATTCAGCAAAGCACCGATAATAATTAATACAGCGTCTTAATATTTGAAATGTCTCTCCTGCAAGTAAGGCTGTGTCCTGGTCTCTTGATCTTCCCCGATTAACCCATCTTGGTGGCAAGATATTAACGCCCTCACCTGGTATGAAGAAGGTCGTGGATTTGATCTCGATGCAGACCCTGAGGCCTGCTGTATATTTAGAGTTTTCGTTTCTCTCGCTTTCCCCGTGGTCACGTGGATTTGTCTCTGGGTCCCCCGGTTTTTCTCTCCACATCTTCTTTACCTAATAAACGTCATTCTTTGTCTGTCTCTGTGTGGACGCGCGCTTGCGAAGGATTTGGCTCTGGAACGGTGGGGTATATGTAGAAATTTGTTTGCCAGGCAGCACGTCTAAAGCCCCGCGGTGGGAATAGGCTTTTCAGTTTTCCCATCCGTGAACTTAAAATTTGTAATAAGTATAACCCGTAAAAACAAAATTTTTCACTATAAATTCTTTATATGCGTTGCAGCGAACTTAATATAAAGGATTTAAAAATATATTCGCCTGTGGAGGACGCGGGGATCGATCCCGCGACCTTTGGCATGGGAAGCGAGGGCGCTACCAACTGCGCTACTCCGCCACGGCCTGTGGAGGGGTTACGCTCTGGGCTCTTATACTGTGACGTTCAGCCAAAGCTATGAATGAGTTCTATTTGAATATATGTAAAATATTTTTTTTTGCCTAAAAAGTGTAAAATTTTGGGAATTTTTTTTCACGAACATTAATTGTCTGGCACAACGAGTCTATGTGGAAAATGTCAGCTCGTTTGGATCACGGGAAGCAGGTTAAAAAACGACCGAAAAATTTGCACGGTCGTAAGCAAGCAAGCATGCGAACTTAATATAAAGGATTTAACAAGTAAACCCGTAAAAACAAAGTTTTTCACTATAAATCCTTTATATGCGTGGCGGCTAGAGTCCTCTCGTCCTCTGGCTTGAGATGGCTGCCACCTATGGGTCAGATGATTGTCTGCCACCATTAAGCAATTGGTAATTAAATATTTAATTTGTTTTCTCTAAACAGTGTAAAATTTTTGATTTTTTTTTAACGAAAATTAATTGTCACACACAACGAGTCTGTGTGGAAAATGTCAGCTCGATTGGATCACGGGAAGTGGGTTAAAAAACGAGCGAAAGATTTGCACGGTCCTAAGCAAGCAAGCGAACTTAATATAAAGGATTTAAAATATATTCGCCTGTGGAGGACACGGGGATCGATCCCGCGACCTTTGGCATGGGAAGCGAGGGCGCTACCAACTGCGCTACTCCGCCACGGCCTGTGGAGGGGTTACGCTCTGGGCTCTTACACTGTGACGTTCAGCCAAAGCCATGAATGCGTTCTATTTTAATATATGTAAAATAAAAAAAATTTGCCTAAAAAGTGTAAAATTTTGGGAATTTTTTTTCACGAACAATAATTGTCTGGCACAACGAGTCTGTGTGGAAAATGTCAGCTCGATTGGATCACGGTCGTAAGCAAGCAAGCACGCAAGCAAGCAAGCAAGCGAACTTAATATAAAGGATTTAAAAAGAAGCAGCTGCTGCAAGGGCCCGAGCAGAGGTGCTCAAAGCAGCAGCCAATCTGGATAAGGAAGAGAATTGGAGTGAGTTTGGCACTCAGATACCTGTCAAGGACCGTGAGCAACTCACCAGAAAAAATATTTTGGACTGGTCTGAACAATGCACCAATGCTCCTCCACCAAACGATACTGAACAAAGGGTGGACGTTCAGGCATCGCCATCTCTGCACCGAGTGAACATGAATGCTGTCTACGGGAATGGTGGAAATGCAGATATCAAGTGTGAGGAATGTGGCAGTGACAAACACGTAACTGCTCTGCACACATTTTACTCCAAACCCAGTGGCACTAAGGCTTCCGATCCCGAAGCAGAGCACGGCGGGGAGCAAGGCGAGACCGCCGCACTCACTTCGTCAATCACAACCAAATGCACAGAAGTCTGTGGAGAAGGCTTCAAAGTAAAATCTTGCTCAAAGATATGCCTCATCTGAGTGTATCCCAAAGGACATCCTGAAAGGGCAGTAAGGATGTACGCCATAATGAACGACCAGAGCAACAAGTCTTTGGCAAGGTCAGAGTTCATTGATCAGCTAAGCGTATGTGGGAATTCCTTTCCATATACGCTCAGAACATGCTCAGGACTGATGGAGACAGCGGGAAGAAGAGCGAGTGGCCTCATGGTGGAAACCATGGATAGCACCATGAAGCTAGCTCTTCCTACGGTGATAGAGTGCCATGAGATACCGGACAACAGGAGTGAGATTCCCACGCCCGAAGTTGCACGTCACCACCCACACCTGAAACCCATAGCAGAGTTCATCCTGCCATTGGATCACGGGGCACAGATTTTACTTCTGCTTGGCAGGGACATGCTGAGAGTCCACAAGGTTCGCGATCAACGCAACAGACCTCACGACGCTCCCTATGCCCAGAGACTCGACCTAGGATGGGTCATCATAGGTGATGTCTGTCTCGATGGAACACACAAACCAGACCGCATTAGCACATTCAGAACAAGTGTGCTCACGGATGGACGCACGTCGCTCTTCAAACCGTGCCCCAACCACTTCACGATGAAAGAGAAACTGACCACGACTTCGCTTGTACATCCACCGTCTTCGCTGGATTTTGTTCCTCCACGTTTCTCCAAGCGGGTCATGACTGACAGAAAGAAGACTAAGATGAAGCTGCTGCTCGTCGCTCTGCTGGTGGTTGTGGCGCTGGTTGCTGTGGCCGTCGCCTCTCCGTTCTTAGACCCGCAGCTGTCGTCCGAGTGGGAATCCTGGAAGGAGTTCCACGGCAAGGCCCCACAACCAGAACATACAATCCCAAGGCACGAGCTGTGTGGAGCTGTTCTAGCTACAGAAGTGGCGGAACTGATCTTAGACGAATTGGTCATTAAACTGAATGCGGTCAAGTTCTACACGGACAGTAAGGTCGTACTAGGCTACATAAACAACCAAACCAGAAGGTTCTACATCTACATCAGCAATAGGGTGGAACGCATCAGGAGATCGATGCAGCCGGAGCAATTAAATTACGTTCCAACTGACCAGAATCCAGATCTCGCAACTAGGTCCGTCCCTGCATCTCTGCTGAAGCAAACCATCTGGCTGACGAGTCTAGCATTCCTCTTACGACGTGACGGTGGACCAGGTACTACCAAAGAGACTTTTGGACTCGTAGAACCCCGAGTCAGACAAGGAGATTCGTTCTCAAGTGACAACTTTCATAACAAATGTGCGACCAAGAAGTCCACTGAGTCTACACCATTTTGAACATTTCTCGAGATGGACGACGCTCATGCGAGCGATAGCACATCTAACGCATATCGCAGACTGCTTCCAACGCCTGATGAGAGGCACCACTGGTAGCTGCAATGGGTGGCATCACTGCGCAGTGCCACGCACTGAAGATGAGCTTTCCAGAGCAAGGAAATCAATCTTCCGCTGTGTGCAACAGGCAGCTTATGCAAGTGAGATCAAGGTCATCAACAAGGGAGAAGACCTTCCTAGGGTCAGCACCCTCAGGAAGCTATACCCCAGGATGGACAAAGACGGCTTTGTATACGATATTATACAGTGTAGTTTAGATTGGAAGGTATAATATTGTAATGTAGTCTAGTTTATATAGTTGTAATGCAGCACAGGACAGAGTAGCGCACCGTGGTTGTGTCTCTCTCTCTCCCCTCCTCCGTTCCGAGCACAGATGGACTCGTCCGTCTGAGCAACACTCGCCGCTTTCCGTGGTGCTAACGTTAAGAAAAAACCGCCACTTTTTTCGACATAGGAGTGTAATGTATAATGACGTATTGTTAGTAGCTCAGCTTATTGGAGAGTATATTGAGTACATTGATTATATTGATGTAGTTTATATTTTTTTTCACATCGGTGTATTGTATGGTAGTAGGG